TTGTCATTTTTATAAGAAGTATCAAATGGGAGATATTCAATTCAATTCAGATCAGTTTATTTTACATGATACAATAAAGTACCGAGTTTCGATACACGTGGTGGGCAGAGCACAGATAGCCCATTGTGTAGCTTTGTCCTTAACTACACACAAACAAATTATTCATGTGTTTTTCCGTTCGTTCGAAATGTTTCTTTCAGTCAGTCGAGGGGGAAAGTCCCGATTTTTTCGTAAAATTCTCTCACAAAAAGAAATTTTTTGTTCTCAATAAGTTTTGTCTGAAATTTACTGTTCAGCTCGTACGAAGACTGATGGATCGATATGAAATTTTACGAACTGCAAAAAAATTAATAATTTTCCTGGAATGTTCTCTTGAAAATATGTGTTTTGATACATATTTTTTTTTCTACGATTAACCGTTCAGGAGATAAAAAGTGTGAGAAAAGGCACTTGGATATTATATATAAATTTGATAAAAGTATTAAAGCATACACATTTACCAAAGTTACACTGTTTGAATTACTTTTGCAATAAAAACATGTTTCAATGGGCAAGGGTCAGCCTAGAAACTACCACAGCTTGATGTTTGCGCAGTAATGTACTGGGGAAATGCAAAATTAAAATGCTTAGCAAAATCAGTTTTACTGGTACAGAAAAACAACAATTTCATGAAGTCTCAAGTATATAATGTCTTGTAAAAGAGTTATTTATATGGAAATACTGCAATTCTACTACTAAAAAACAGGTCTTCCAATGTGCGAATAACATGATATTCAGCACTCGGGGCGTAACAAAACGTTATTCCGACACTTTTGTAGCCGGCACTGTTTTTAGAACCTTTTCAACAATATATATAAATGTATGTTTACAGCAAACTATGTTCGAATTTGACTGCATACATGTGAAAATGTATCAAAGAATATCGAGGTGTCGTCTCTTTCTGGGATGTTGCGACAGCAAACTCATGCTACCTGAGCATAAAACAGACGAGACATTGGACAGTTTTTCTCGATTTATTACGTGTTTGAAGTCTTTTCCATAGATATAATTCAATTTACATTTCCTCTTAGGTTCAATAAACCCCGGATGTTAAAGGAGCAAACAAACAAACAATCCCATTCTTTTAAATGAACAAATACACACAGTTGATGAAGCAAACACTAAGTCCTTACTGTATATAATTCTCTCTCTCTTTTTATTTTGTTCTGTTACACCAGAAGTGCATTGGATTGATATTTTAAGCCCCTGTATCCCACACCTACAGCACAGTATGATCAGCTGATTAGTTTGTGATAATGTATAAAATATTAAAAATATCTTTCGAACAGGAACTATTGTTTTAAAGATTTTTTTTATTTAAGTTT